TAGCGATTATAAGCGAACCGCTATTATATCCTCTCAACTATGATCGATCATTTCAAGTTATGATTGATCAGGATCGTATTTTGCTCGAGCGAGAGTAGTGTCGCTCAAGCGAAATACAACCCGAGAATGCGAATTCTGTGCAGGGGGCGTTTCGCTCGAGCGAGAATGTTGTCGCTCAAGCGAAATACATTTTAGATAGCGGTTCCATAGGAACCGCTCTTAAAAGTGCACTTCTAATAGCAGTTAACCATTAACCGCTATCTTAATTATACTTTAGATAGCGGTTAAGGTGGAACCGCTATCATATCTTCTCAATTATGTTTTGCAAAGTGCCTCTACAAATGTTTTTAACAATTAAAAACAAAGTATTTTGACAAAAGCTTTCTCAAATGCCTCTACAAAGTATTTTTAACAATTATATTGAGTTTAATTCTACAAATTAAAAGATTAAATAATAATAAATTTAATTCTTTAAATTCAGTAGCTAGAAACTAAAATTATAGTTTATCTGTTTTAAATATTTAAAATAAATATTTAAAAATAAAAATCAAAACTAGTATTATCTTAAATTTATTAAAAGTGTAATTAAATATCTATTTTCTTATTTTTATTTGTTTCACACCTCTCAATTCTACATTTTTGTAAGTTCTATCATTATATTATCATCCTTATCTCCTCCCATGTTCTACTTTATCTTTACAATAGTCAATATTCTTAACTAATTTATAGTTTTAATTATACTTTTTTAGTATATATTTCGAAATTAATCAATTCTAATCAATAATTTAGAAAACTAATCGATTATAATTAATTATTTGAAAAAATTATCAAATATGATCGATCATTTCGAAAATATAATCGATCAGAATCAACTATCGCTCAAGCGAGATAGACTCGCTCAAGCGAAATACAACCCGAGAGTACTAATTTTGTGCGAGGGCGTTTCGCTCGAGCGAGAATGTTGTCGCTCAAGCGAGATAAAGTTTAGATAGCGGTTACACAGAACCGCTCTTAAAAATCACTTAGATAGCGGCTAACCCTTGAACCGCTATTATATGGTTTCAATTATGATCGGTCAGAATGCGTTTATGACCGATCATAACTATTTTAATCGATTAAATATCGTTTCAATCGATTAAAACAGTTTCTACACGACATTTTAATCGATTAAAACTTATTTTTATCAGTTAAAATAACTTGAAAAGTTTTAGGAGAAAGTTTTGCGAGTATTTCAATCGATTGAATCGCTGAAACAATCGATTAAATCAACTTAGAAGATTTTTGTAAAGTGTTTTAATTGATATAAACGTTGTCGTATCAGTTAAAACAAATCGTTAAAGAATCAAGAACGTATTAATGGATTAAAAGAAGTTTTCACAGATTAAAACTGCACTTTTAACAGATTAAAAGAATCTTTTAACAGATTAATTAAACCAAGCAGCTTTGAAAATCTTCTATAAAAACAGTTTGGCTTGAACTTTTTTAACATACATTGAATATATCATCTTTAAAAAATAAATATATATATATATATATATATATTTTTTTTGCATTTTAATTTTCAAATATTAATTTTTTTATGAAATTAATTTTAATTAAAAAAAATTAAAGTGATATATATATATATATATATATATATATATATATATATATATCCAACTATTAAATTATTCAAGATATTAATATAAATTTAAAATATCAATTCAAGTAATTAAAATAATTTTAATTTTTTATAAATACATTGAAATACATTTTTATTAACATACAAGTAATATATATATATATATATATATATATATATATATATATATATATATATATATAAAGAGACTAAATTAATAATTAATTTAATTATTGATTTAGTGACCGAGTTCGATGACCGAATCGATGATCGATCTAGTGACCGATTCGGTGACCAAATCGATGATCGAATTAGTGACCGATTCGGTGTCGAATCGTGACCGATTCGGTGACTAATTTAATAATCAATTTTAATTTTTTTATTCACATTCTAAATAAAAAAATAAAATCAAATAATTATATTACTAAATTATTTAATAAGTTAGTAAACAATTTTTTTAAAATATTTATAATGTTATTAAAAATGTTATCAATTATTTTAAATTATTAAGTAAATTTATATTTAAAATATTTTAAATAAAATATTTATATAAATGAAAAATAGTTATCAGTTTAAAAATTATTTTTTTAGTGACTGAAATTTTAGTCACTAAATCAGTTACTAAATATAAAAAAAATTAATAATTACATAAATTAAATATAGATTAATTAAAAAAATAAATTAAATAATAGAGTGACTGAAATAGTAACCGATTTTATGTGACCGAAAATTCGGTTACTATTTCGGTTACTAGACTAAAAAATAATAATTTGGTTACTGATTCGGTCACTAATAGTAACTAAATTTTTCGGTCACTGATTTCGGTTACTATTTGACATTTTTCTAGTAGTGAAATGAAATAAGTGTAATTAGGAGTGACAATTGTAGTAAGACACTTGCATTCTAGAAAAAAACCACATATATAAGGAAAAAAAACTATTTTAACGAAGTTCTTGACAATTTTGGTCATCAATCTTATTAAATTTCTTTATCAATTTTTATTTTATCCTTAATCATTTACATTTTTTGTACTTTACAATTTTTTTCCTATTTACCTTTTCACGTATTTACTTTTCTCGCACATTTATATTTTTATACTTTAATGTTTAAATTAATATTGAAAATTAAAAAATATTATAAGTATTTTCATGTGAAAGATCTTAAAGAAAAAAAAGTTAACATTATATCAATTATTGAATAAATTGTTGACTAGTATTATTATGATTAAAGCTTAATTAAAATATTTTCTAAATTAAAAAGTTTTTTTTAAACAAAAAGAACCGATATGAAATAAAATTATTTATCTTAAAAAATAATACGCCTACAAAATTAAATAATTAAATTGTAAAATTATAATTATAAAATCTAGAAACAAATATCTATTTAATATTTGCGAAGGATGCAAGGAATTTTTATTTTTTTCCATCCCTAAACCCATACCTTGATTAATCTTTCAATTTCACCATTTATTTCCACTTTCTCTCTTCCCCTTGAATCTATATAGGTTATGTGTATATATGTGAAAATGTCAATGAAAATGATAATAAATGATTTAGATCTAGATATGTCCATGTCTAATATTTCTTTTAATGACCATGTGATTAGGTATGATAATATTTATGTAAATAATTTATTCATCGTACAATAGTTATAAAACAATACACCCACAGCACAATATATTATATTTACATGTAACGTGTGGCTTAATGCATATTATTCCTAAATCCTAGCTGATATATTTTTTTATTTGTACATACAAACTTTTAATCTGCTCTTTCACTACACATATCTTTTAATATATTCAAAATTTATAATTATACCAGAATTCATATAATCTTTGAATAAAAATCATATTTTGTGTGGTTTTTTATCTTTATGAATCTGATTTTTTCCATAAGAAACAATTGTTTTCACAATCGGTTCTAATGATTATTTTTTATTTATCTATCAAAAATAATTTAAATGCTTATAGAGCATGCATGATAATATTGACTTCATAGTTAGTGCTAGTTTGATATACTTGAGGTTTTGCAGTATATTTGCTAGAGACATATTTGTTCTTCTATCTTAGAAGAATATTTGTTTTTCTTGCGTTTTAGGATGACTCCTCATCCTAATTCGCTTTCATCACACTCGATTATCAAATAATTAGAGTATAATGGTAATTGTAAAATTAGTAATTATTTACCATATGTTTTATATTATGAACTAATCTTATGTCTTCAAAATTAAATTTTCTTTCTCCTTTAATAGAAGTCTTATTGTATAAAGATGTATATTTATTCAAATTTTGAATAAAATTTCGGGCATAATTTAGGAGTCTTAAAAAAATATCAAAATCTTAATATCCTTCGTTTTATCATGAAATTGTTGAAGTGTTTGAGTTTTATGGTTAATGCATATTATTCCTAAATCCTAGCTGATATATTTTTTTCATTTGTACGGACAAACTTCTACTCTTTGACTGGACACTATACCCTATACCCTAGCGTCATTGTTTTATAAAAAGTAATAACTAAAAAAATACTGAGAAAAGTAGTGGATTTAAATGAGAATCTTAGAAATATGTGTAGCAGTTGTTTGTAGTTGATGATTATATCTTTGTATTTTTTTTTAAGTATCACCGTGCATTTTAAATAAATAAAAATTTGAGAATAAATACATCAAGTTCATTATTGCATATCTGTGTTTTAGGTCTATATGCATTAAGTATTTAAATACTAAAATTTAAAGATTAAAATATTTTCAGAAAACAATCTTTAGTCTCTAAACTGTAAATTTGAGAAATTATAATAACTACATTTTTTAAAGAAAATTTAAGAAACTAAAATGTTTTTATTTTTTTATTTGAAAGATGAAAATCAAATTTAATTATTAATTTTAACACTAATGGGCGGTATTTTTAGCTTTACTAGTACACTCACTTTTTTATAAATTATTAATTTTTTTCTCAATTTATTTTTAAATTAATTATTATATATTTATTGAAGAAGTGATATTATTTTATAGTAAAACTATAAAAGAAAAATATTTACAGAAATCTATATATAGCTGAATATAATTCTTAACTTATAATTTGATTTTATCGAGATTTCGTAGAATTGAGTTAGATATTATTATTTATAAAATGATATCAAAATCAATTGAGGTATTGTTTGTTAATAATTATAGAATAAAATATTTATTATCAAATTACATATGAATATTAAACTACTCCAAAAATATTCTTCGATTTGAGGTGTATAAGTCTCAAGTCAATTATAAATATGATATTATTAAAAATTTTAACTTAATAAATTAGTATCATAAAACTGAGTAACTAATATCATCCTTTATTTTAGAAAAAAAAAACAGAAAAACATAATTTACTAAATAATTTTTACACATGAAGAACTGAATAATTATGTTGTTTTGAGAACTTAGACTTAGCAAACTCTACCAAACTAGCATACTCTTCAGTAGCCTTCGTATCCACACCATTCCTCAACAATTGAGGAAAGAACAACCAATTTGCTGTTATTGCCAAAAATGAAACCACAAGCAACCCCGACACAAGACGGTGCAACTGCCACCCGCGGTGGCCAGCCACCTTTTTCATAGCCACCTCCACCACCGTGCACACACCATGAAGCAAAAAAAAAAACAGGTAACTTCCCACGTGGGAGGCACACGTACAAGGTAATAATAAATTAGCTCATGCATGAGTCCAGAGACAAGAAAAGTGGCCAACATTGCAGCTGACGAAGCACACGAGGAGCCCACAAAACTTTTAAACATACGGCGTATAGGATTGTATACGGTAGGACGTAGAATAAGAGTAACCATGAGGTTCCATCTATGACCCCAGAAGTCTTGAAGTGAGGTAGAAATGTAGGGTTCGTTGAAGTGTGGTTCTATCTCAAACCCGAAAAGGGTTCGAATGGTGACACTGATGAAGATTAACAACAGCTCTAGTGAAAGGTAAACGTGGCAGCAATAAATGACCAACATGAAATTAGGGTGCAAGTTTTCTTTGAAGTCATAAACACGAATGATCATTGCAAAAATAAGCACTTTTAGAGGCACAAGCCATTTGGGTTTGTGGTTTTCATTGGTTGGAGGGTGTTGTTTGGGGATGATGGGGAGAAAAGCTATGGAGATGAAGTGGACAATGTATGGAGGTGATAGAGCAAGAGGGCCTTGGTTGAAGGAGTAAAGAAGGAGCTTGGATGTGCCAAGCAAAACAAGGAAGAAGGAAGTGATTCCAATTAAGGTAGGTGAAGAGAGGTTTAATGGAAGGATAAGGAAGAGGAAGAGAAGTGGAAGGAAGGAAAGAAGCCTCAGTAAACCTTTTGGTATTCTAGAAGCTAAGTAATAACAATAACATAGACCTATGATGGCTGAAATCCATACTTTGATCAACCTTTCAATTTCACCATCCATCTTCCCCACCCTTGAATGAGTAATGGGTTTGTGAAATGAATGAGAATAATGAGTGATATTATAGATTGGTGGATCTCTTGTACATTTTTTTAAATCAAGAGATGCGATATTAGTAATACATAAATAATTGATGTTATAAATAAATATATAGTATATATAAACAATATCGAAGTAAACAACACTACTACAAAAAACACTTTCTACGACAGCATCCAACGTCGGTTATCACGAAGACCGACGTTGTACAAGACGCGGTGGCAAACTTGTAATTATGAAACAAAATTTAACGTCGGTTATATAATAACCGACGTAGTAACTGCAATTCAACGTCGGTTATATGACAGACGACGTTAAATGTTTAAATTTAACGTCGGTTATGTATAACCGACGTTGAATTCCCAAAATCAACGTCGGTTACATGATTTACCCGACGTCGAAAGCGTTATCCACGTCGGGTTTTTTAATAACCGACGTTGAATGTCCTTTATACCTCTCCTCCTAGGCGCGCTGCCCCCTCGTCTGCTTCTTCTTCGTCCCACATACTCCCTCCTTCTGCTTCTTCTTCGCTGTGCCTCAGTCCTCACTGTTGCCCCCTCGCCGCCCACTTCGCCGCCCCCTCGCTCTGCCCCCTCGCCGCCCCTTCGCCGCCCACTCGCCGCTGCTACCTCATTCGCTGTGGTCTGCTGCCTCAGTCCTCACTGCCGTGCTCTGCCCCCTCGCCGCCCCTTCGCCGCCCACTCGCCGCGCTCTCATCAGGTTAGATTAAGTTGTATGGATGATTTACAGCATGCATTTAACATAAATATGGATTATTTAGAGCATTTCCTGCGTAGGAACATTAGAAAGATGATGGATGATTTTGTATATATGGTTTGATTTGATCTAGGTTCGTTTAGGTTTCGAAGTGGTATATGGAACATTAGGTTTCGTTTAGGTTTAGGTTTAGGTTTAGGTTTCGAAGTGGTATATGGAACATTAGAGCATGTATGGAACATTAGAGCATTGTTAGGCAATGTACACGTTTTTTTTGTATTGTTTTGTTAAACCTTTTCTAATAAACCTTGAATATCTAGGCAAACCTTTTTGTGTAGTTAGATGGATCGAACTTGGGTCAATGCAAGTCGTATGTCAGAAGAGTATGAGAATGGAGTTGACTCCTTTTTAAAATTTGCCGAACAAAATGCTCCCAAAATGAATGGAAAAATCTACTGCCCATGCGCTAATTGTGTAAATGGCAGAGTACAAGAGATGGACACAACGCGGGAGCATCTTATTTGCGATGGGATGATGAAGAATTACACCATATGGACATGGCACGGTGAAGTGGTTGATATTCCAACAGTATCACAAACTATTGAGGATGATGTAACCTGCGAAGATCGAATAGAGGACATGCTTTGTGATGTGGGTCAAGAGAGCTTTCTTGAAGCACATGCATCTATATATGATACATTGAGGACCGATTCAGAGACACCTTTGTATCCCGGATGTACAACTTTCACATGGTTGTCATCTGTGTTAAGATTGGTCAATCTAAAAGCAAAATTTGGTTGGAGTGATACAAGTTTTAATGAATTACTCCAACTTTTGAAGGAGATGCTCCCAGACAATAACACCTTGCTGGACCGTATGTATGAAGCGAAGAAGATACTATGTCCGATGGGTTTAGAATATAGGAAGATACATGCTTGCCCTAATGATTGTGTGTTATACGGGAAAGAATTCTCATCTTTAGACCAATGTCCAACATGTGGTGTATCACGTTACAAAACGAAGGATGGTGATGATTGTAGTCAGGAGAGTGGTAAAAAACGTCCTCCTGCAAAAGTTTTATGGTATCTTCCAATTATTCCAAGATTTAGGCGGTTGTACGCTCACGAAGATGCTGAAAATTTAATTTGGCATTCAAAGAGAAAAACATGTGATGGGCAAATGCGACATCCATCTGACTCTCCCCAATGGAAGAATTTTGACCGTCTATTTCCAAGTTTTGGTAGTGATGCAAGAAACCTTAGACTTGGATTAGCAACAGATGGGATGGATCCTTTTGGAAATTTAAGTAGTAACCATAGTTCATGGCCCGTTTTATTGATGATTTACAATCTTCCACCATGGTTATGCATGAAGCGCAAATATGTCATGTTGTGTATGATGATTTCAGGTCCAAGACAGCCAGGAAATGACATATGTGTATTTGAGTCCTTTGATAGAAGACTTAACACTATTATGGGAGGAAGGAGTAGATGCATTTGATGGGTATCAGCAGCAGAAGTTCAAGTTGCATGCAATGTTATTTTGCACCATTAATGACTTCCCTGCCTATGGAAACTTGAGTGGGTATAGTGTGAAGGGGCATTATGCTTGTCCTATTTGTGAAGAAGAGACCAGTTATATACAATTGAAACATGGAAAGAAGACAGTTTATAACAGGCACAGAAAATTTCTCCCGCATGACCATCCATACCGTAGACTGAAGAAAGCTTTTAATGGCATACAGGAGGATGAAATTGCCAGAGAACCATTGACTGGTTTAGAAGTTTACGATCGAGTGAAGAACATAAGCATTACATTTGGAAAGACCCAAAAAAGGTCTTCTGACAAGAACATGTGGAAGAAGAGATCAATTTTCTTTGATCTTCCATATTGGAGCCATTTAGAAGTACGACATTGTATTGATGTTATGCATGTGGAGAAGAATGTATGTGATAGTCTCATTGGCACATTGTTAAACATTCAAGGAAAGTCAAAGGATGAGATCAAAGCACGTCAAGACCTTTGTGAGATGGGAATACGTCCTGAATTACATCCAAGACCTGAAGGCAATAGAACATATCTACCACCAGCATGTCGCACCTTGTCAAAGAAGGAGAAACGTAGTTTATGTCATTGTCTTGCAAGTATTAAAGTGCCATAAGGATACTCTTCAAATATTAAGAGTCTTGTATCCATGAAAGATCTGAAGTTAATTGGATTAAAGTCCCATGATTGTCACGTTTTGATGCAACAGTTGTTACCCGTGACTATACGTAACATATTGCCTAAGAATGTTAGACATGCCATTATGCGACTATGTTTTTTCTTCAATTCTATTTGTGCCAAGGTTATCGATGAAAAATCACTAGATGAGTTGGAAAATGAGGCTACGGTTGTGCTATGTCAATTGGAGATGTATTTTCCTCCATCATTCTTTGATATAATGATTCACTTAATCGTTCATGTTGTGAGGGAGATACGAATTTGTGGGCCGGTTTATTTGAGGTGGATGTACCCAATTGAGCGATACATGAAGATCTTCAAAGGGTATTCTAAAAATCCATATAGACCTGAAGCTTCAATTGTTGAGCGGTATATTGCAGAAGAAGCCATATAATTTTGTTCAGATTACTTGGCAAGAGTCGTACCTGTGGGTGTACCTAGAAATCGTCATGATGATAGGCTAAATGGTAAGGGAACTCGTGGTATTAGAATTCAAACAAAAGATCATGTAGAGTTGACCACCGCCCACTTGTATATTTTGAACAATACAGAAGAGGTTATTCCTTACATAGATGCACATAAAGCAATGTTAAAGGACCTAAACCCCAAAATGGGTGAAAGGTGGTTGATGAAAGAGCATAACAACAACTTTATCAATTGGTTTCAAAGCAAAATATTTTCAAGTGACAATGCCTCTGATACACTGAAATGGCTAGCACATGGGCCTAGATATAATGTTATAACTTGGCAAGGGTATGACATTAGCAAATACTCATTCTATACGAAGGCACAAGATGACAAAAGTAATAGTGGAGTATCTATTGAGGCAACATCTATGCACTTTTCTAGTGCAAAGGACAAAAACCCCATCATGGCATCAATTAGTTACTTTGGAGTGATTGAGGAGATTTGGGAGGTCGACTATACTAAATTCAAAGTGCCTTTATTTAAATGTAAATGGGTTGTAATAGTAGGACTGGTTCAGAGTGAGAGGTAATAGCTTATGGCTTAATTGACTTGAATATTTCATAATGAGTTGTGTATCTAATATTGTGTTCAATTATGTTGCAGGAAAGAAGACAAAAAGCAAAAGACATTCAAAGGAAGAATGTCGCCCCCCACCTTCTGTCTCGTGGGGGGTACGCCTTATTGACTAAGAAGATGATGGAGGAGAAGAGTAGACTTCGACAGTCGGAGTTAGCCTCTTCTGGTTTAAGCGAAGAGCAGATTCCTCCACCATCTCCTCCAAAACATCACCAAAAGTGGAAGAGGGCGCGTACAAAGCCTTCTGGTGACATGATGTCGCTGGAAGCCCGAGAAATTGCTGCTCGGATTGTAAGTAAAAGAAGTTAATTTACTTTGAATTAGTTATATGTAACATGTTCATTAATAAAATTAACTTTTATAATGTAGGATGCCTTGGAGGAGCAGTGTACACAGGGAACTTTCATCCCTTCTGGTCGTCAGGATATCTTGACCACTGCTATTGGACGACCAGAACATCCAGGTCGTGTTCGAGCTATTGGCCAAGGTGTGGGTGTCCGACAGTATTTTGGACCACCATCACAGGATATCCGCACCTCCACATCCCTGAGCCAAGAAGATATTGTTGCCTTGGAGATGGCTCTCACAGAGAAATTGACACCAGCCATCAGGGCAAAATTGGAGGAAGAGTTGACTCCTGCCATCAGCGCATGACTTGAGGAGACCATAACTGCACGTGTGCAGGAGAAATTCCTGCGTATGACCTCCATGGGTACTTCATTTGCTGATGCTCATCCTCCATCAGGTGCATTTTCAACCACAAATTGGTACTTGACTTGTGTTTCTAAAATCTTAGTCCTTATTGGAATTTACTGTATTTGTAGGTCCAAGAGTTAGCACAAAGGGCAGTTGTGCTGAAGCCACTATCGAGGTCACACCTGAGGTGGCATCTATTCATCCTGAATCCACAAAGGATGATCGATATGGCTTGTGGGTTAAGGTAGATGAAGGTCTAAGGCTAGTGGCCCATGGATCAGTTC